ATACTGACTGTGGTGGTACCTGCTATGATCATATCAGTGCATACTGACTCTGGTGGTACCTGCTATGATTACAGCAGTGCATACTGACTGTGATGGTAGTTGCTATAACAGCAGTGTATACTGACTGGTGGTACATGCTATGATTACAGCAGTGCATAACGACAGTGGCGGTACCTGCTATGATATCAGCAGTGCATACTGCTGTGGTGATACCTGCTATGATTACAGCAGTGCATATTGTGGTCGTACCTGTTATTATTACAGCAGTGCATATTGTGGTGGTACCTGCTAAGATTACAGCAGTGCATACTGCTGTGGTGGTACCTGCTATGATTACAGCAGTGCATATTGTGGTCATACCTGCTATGATTAGAGCAGTGAATACTGATTGTGGTGGTACCTGCTATGATTACAGCAGTGCATACTGCTGTGGTGGTACCTACTATGATCACAGCAGTGCATACTGACTGTGGTGGTACCTGCTATGATTACAGCAGTGCATACTGCTGTGGTTGTACCTGCTATGATTACAGCAGTGCATATTGTGGTCATACCTGCTATGATTAGAGCAGTGCATACTAATTGTGGTGGTACCTGCTATGATTACAGCAGTGCATACTGCTGTGGTGGTACCTGCTATGATTACAGCAGTGCATACTGACTGTGGTGGTACCTGCTATGATTACAGCAGTGCATACTGTGGTGGTACCTGCTAGGATTACAGCAGTGCATACCAACTTACTACAGTGCCTTTGGCTGTAACGGTTCCACCTGAAGACAGAAGCTTGTGTTGCCTCCGAAACGCCGTGATTTAATTTAGTTCTTTTCATTTTTTTTTTACCTACGTCACTTTACCGAAAAAACTAAAGAATATCTATGGAGAGATTTGACTCTATGGGTATCAGTGTTGAGTCTATGAGTAGTGTTGAGTCTATGGGGAGTGTTAACTCTATGGCTAGCAGTACTGAGTCTATGTACAGGGGTAGTTGATTCCAGTGGAAGGGTACAAGAAGGGAGAAAGATATAAAACATATTACAGAATTGCCATATATATTTCCACCATGAAACAAAGATAACCGTGATCACACCGAAAAACAATCATCATCATAATCATCCTTTACACACCGCGAAGAAAGTAATAAATTACGTTTCTGTATATGCGCAAGTTGCACACCTACTTTGGAGATTGTAAAGTTTACATGTGAGAGAGGGCATTGAGGGGATTGTAAACAGAAAGACTAAATACCCTGGATCACAACTTTCGTGGTTGTTGTGGTTGTTGTGTCTATGTTCATATATCTGGATGGCTTCATTTACAAATCTCTCTCTCTCCCCCTGCCGCCGTTTTCCCCTCTTGTCTCACGAGCAGCCCCTTTCTTATTTATGCCCACCCCCTCTCTCTCCCCCTGCCGCCGATTATCGTTAATGCAGTCGTTTGTTTCTCAGTCCTTTGACTCTTGGGCTACGCCCATTTCTACCCTTTAACAGGTCCCTGCGGGGTGGGCTGGTAGGAACGAATAACCAAAGAATATAAACATAATGTATTATTACACTTGTTTAGCCAGGAAAGCCTCACTGAGTCTAAAGGTTTTTGTAGGGTCCTGCCAAGTGTTTGCAGTAGGGGGCGATGTTGCTACATAAAATGTTTTAATTATGAATGTAAAAGCTTTAAATTTAAATGTTTCTATTTTAAAACATCAGGGAATGTAACATTGTTAAACATTAACTCCCTTTCACACACGCGGGGGTACGATACGAAGAAAGAGTTTGAGGCCTAGTTCTAGGCTTTAGGCCTAGCTGTAGGCTTTAAGCCGCTGTGAATTAATTTTTAATTTAAATGTTTTAATTAAAAGCTATCTCAGGGAATTATAAGGGAATGTTACACTTTTTTAGCCAGGAAAGCCTCACTGAGTCTAAAGGTTTTTGTAGGGTCCTGCCAAGTGTTTGCAGTAGGGGGCGATGTTGCTACACGTAATCGGACATCGGACGGACGGACGATATAATCTATTGTAGGCTGGTTCACTTCGTTCCTACCAGTAAAAGCAGCCTGCATCATCAGCTTGCCTCCTCTTTTTTCTGCCTGAGGACGATTGCTTGCATTGCGATCAGAACGTCGTGATCTATTTTTATTCTGCCTACGAGACTTTACCGAACGAACCAAAGAGTATTTATATTCATATTTCTATTATTATTTAGTGATCGCTTTATTGATAATTATTCTGTGGTTTGTTAATTCATAAGCTATGTGCTGGATATCAGTAAATAATGTTCTATTGATTACCTGAAAGGTTCTATGACTTTCTTATTGGAATTGTTTTACTTTTATTATAATAACTTTATTTATTTAATTTAACAATTGTTCTATGTTTGATTGTTCTATTTCAATTAAATTATTTTAATAAATAGATGTTGGAAGCAATTCACATCGTTTAAGTTCTCATCCTTGCATTATAATATATAGAGCAGTTCATATTTTGATGGTATCATGTGGTAATACTCCATCACATTTTTTAAATCTATTACACAGTGAATATTGAACTGAAGCTTGACTTCAATCTCACATCAAATCGCAATCGCAATATCTGTCAGAAAAATCGCAAGTAGATATTTTCTCCAAATCGTTCAGCCCTACTTCATTCCGTCTGTCACACAAACTCCGCTCGTCATCCTCGCAAGCGGCGGCGGCTCCTGGCAAAGCCGTCGAACGAAGACGGCGATCATCGCATCGTCGCCACGTGGCGCTTTCAGACGCGCTTCTGGTGCCGTCTGGAACGCTCCTTCCTTGCGACATTAGGAAGCCACTGGGAGTTGTGGCACTTTCAAATCATCATCTAGATTGGCAAACTAATTTCTTTAGAAATTCTTGTTGTTGTGTTTAGTTTGCTGTCCTTCCTTCCCCCCTACACCTCCTATTAGCGCGGTTGGCTACGTACGGTGGTGGGAAAGAAGTTCAACATATTACGTACGAAAAATCAGAACAGACTTTACCCTTTCTGCCAATATAACAGGAGGTATCTATTTGGTGTTTGAACCAAATAGATACTTATCGCAAGGAATCAAGCACTGCATTAACCACAAACAGTACTTGTGGTGAATATGCAAACAAACGTGCTCTGATAATGCATGGGCGTTATCTTTGAAACTGATTGGCCTACACCAGAGACGGCAGCCTTCTGCTGTCTCTGATGTAGTCTCACCACCAGTGTCAGACCAGAGAACGCCAAAAAGTGAACAGCACAAAGAAAATGCACGTGTATTATAGTATGTATAGCTCGGGGTGATATGCTTTCTCATGGGATACCTTTTGTGCCAGTATCAAAGTATGAAAAATAATAAAAGATGTTGACCCTTTCTGGCAATAAAATAGGAGTTGTGTTAAGATGTTCAAACACCTCCTAAATAATCACCGAACGTCATTTATATGAGTCATGCTGCCAGACAACACGGCGGGAGGCAGTAGTGTTCCCAAAGAATGTCGCATTAAGGAAACATGGCGTTGTAATAAATAATATATAATGCAGGGGGTAAAGCATGGTCTGCGATAACGTGCGTGAGATGCGTACGCAGGGCCCAAGGAAGATTGAGGATGCACGGTGGGTAGCATCTAGAAGCATCCAGCAGCATCCCAATGCCTTGTTGTGACTCTAGGTAGCATCTCGAAGCATCCAGTAGCATCCCAATGCCTTGCTGTGACTCTAGGTAGTATCCAAAAGCATCCAGCAGCATCGCAATACCTTTATTGTGGGACACTAAACCGAGGCAACCATACGACCGCTTATCCCCACTCGCGCGACCGTAGTTCCGTTCGCTCGATTTCGTCATATATCCCATTCGCATCCACCCTATATCGCGTTATAGGGAGAATGGACTGTGCTTTAAAACATCGTAAAACAATTAGGTTAAACTCACGAACACTGGTTGCCTACTTCCCAGCCAAATGCCCACCACTCCTTGAGCCTCGACTGGTTTTATTGACCAGTATACATCTGTGAGCTTCATAGCTCATCGGATTCCTCCTCTGGTAAAAATACATTTTATGATTCTAGCAATGTCAGGGTCTTGTGAAATTTCACCCCGAGTGAAAACTGTCAGGCCGAAACGAATCTCAGTGTCATGGAGAATTCTTCGACCAGGCGATTGATATCTTAGGCCTGGCAAAACTCCTACGGCGAGTTCTCTTGGCAGCTGGCTGGCTGGTGACAAGAAGTAGGTGCGCATTGCTACGCCGTGTAAATGCAAACTACAAATTGTAAACTCTGATTTCCCTTCAGCCCTAGGTCCGAAGGAAGCCACAGATCAAAGCTAAACCCGCACACATTGAGTCCCTTCTAGGCCTGACGAAGACCTTAGACCTCGTAAACGTCTTTAAAAGCCTCGGAGAGAGAAATCGTAGCCCTCCCCCCCTCCCCCCGGCAGGAACGCGGGAGGGGCAATGTGGGTTCTGGTGGGCGAACGTGGGTTCTGGAGGAGGAACGTGGGTTCTGGAGGGAGAATGTGGGTTCTGGAGGAGGAACATGGGTTCTGGTGGGGGAACGTGGGTTCTTGGGCAGAACGTGGGTTCTGGTGGGAACGTGGGTTCTGGTGGGGGAAGGTGGGATCTGGAGGGGGAACGTTTGTTCCGGAGGGAGAACGTGGGTTCTGGAGGAGAAACGTGTGTTCTGGTGGGAATGTAGGTTCTGGAGGGGGAACGTGGGTTCTGGTGGAAACGTGGGTTCTGGAGGGGGAACGTGGGTTCTGGTGGGAACGTGCGTGCTTGGGGGGAACGTAAGTTCTGTTGGGGCAACGTGGGTTCTGGTGGGAACGTCGGTTCTAGTGGCAACGTGGGTTCTTGGGGGTATCGTGGTTTCTGGTGGGAACGTGGGTTCTGTAGGGGGAACGTGGGTTCTTGGGGGGTTCGTAGGTTCTGCTGGGAACGTGGGTTCTGGTGGGAACGTGGGTAACAACCAGCCCCCCCCTTCCCCCCGGGCGCTGCCACCACCGCCGCCACCACCGCCGCGCTATCACTGCCCCCTGCACGCGTTCACGTGCAGGCGGAGCACCCCGCGGCTGTGCAGCCTCAGCAGTTCCGCGAACTCGCTGGGCATGTAGTGCCCCGACTTGGGCTGCTGGTCATCGTAGTAGTGGTGGGGCAGCTGGCGGCCCAGCTGTCGGTCAACAGGGGCGGCCGCGGGGGCCACGGCGGCCTGTGCCCCCTTCTTCCTCTTCCTGCTCCTCTTCGGCTTCCTCCTTCTCTCGTCCTCCTTCACCTGCGCCGGGGTGGGCAGGTCGTGCACGAACGGCCAGAAGCCATAGACGTGCACCTCGTTGCATAGATCCATGGCCACACTCGTCTGGGGGGGGAGGTGTGTGAGTGAGGAGGGGGGAGATAGGGGAGGATGGGAGATGTTTTGGGATAATTTTATGGGAGTGTGCACATTATATTTAAACTATTAATCCATTTTTAGCTGGTAATAATAATGCGAATGTATAATGTGCATTACATCTGAGGATCCCAATGCGTAAGGAATCACTGAGATGTTACGTAGTTCTTCTTTCAGAAGCCACTTGGCTATCATGAATGATTTCTCAATGAAGTGGTTTATTATTACGTAGGTATAAATAAATTAAATCACGACGTTTGAGGTGCAACAAGGACTGAATCCAAATGTACTAACTTTGGTAAGGCACTGCCTTACCAACACATACTTCACTGGGAATGGTATATTCTACAAACAAAATTAGGGTACCCCAATAGGTTTTCCCTTACTGACAGTGGTAGCGAATGTTTTCATGGACAAATTTGAAACAGATGCCATCCAGACATCCACCCTATGTCCTTCCTTGTGGAAGAGATATGTGGATGACACGTTCATAATCTGGCCACATGGCCTGCCAGCACTTAACCAATTTCTCAACCACGTCCATTCCATACACCCGTCTATTAAATTCTCCATGGAAGTGGAAAAGGATGGAAAGCTACCATTCCTGGATGTTTTGATCGAGAATAGACCTGATGGCTCGTTGGGACATTCGGTCTACAGGAAAGCCACCCACATGGATGCCTATCTAAAGCCTGACTCCCACCACCATCCAGCCCAGAAGAATTCCCTCATCAAAACACTACACCATAGGGCCCGTTGCATCTCCGACCAGCACCACCTAGCCAGTGAGTTGGAGCACGTACACCAAGCCCTCAGGATGAACGGAAACAACCTTCTGAGGATCCAACCAAAACCATCACTTTACCATACATATCAGGGGTTACCAAAAGGATTTCCAAAATCTTAAACAAACACAAGATCCAGGTTCGTTTCAACACAGGACACAAACTGAGGTGTGGTTGCAGCAGCAGTTACATTGGGGAACCGAAACGACATGTCTCGGACCGAGTTCGTGAACACAAGGCAGATCTGGAAAACGGTAGGACCAATACTTCTACCGTTGCCGCTAATTGTTTTAACACTGTGGGCTCACACGAAATTGATTTTTCCAAGACAGAGGTACTCTGCAAACCTACCAGCTACCTTCAGAGATTTGTTCATGAAGCCATCCAGATATATAAATACAGACACAACTTTAACCGAGAGGATGGGTACAAACTGAGCAATCATTGGTAGGACGTTATTAACCAGGTAAAGTCTTAACTGACTGTGATGTTTCCATCCTACCTGCCTATGTCAGCTGTTATTTCCGACTGTCTGTGTCTCTCTCTCTCTATGCCTCTCTCTTAGTTCTCTCATGCTCACATGTCCTTTGCATTGCACTTTCATGCCTTTGGATTGCACTCTCATGCTCACATGTCCTTTGGATTGCACTCTCATACCCCCATGCCCTTTGGATTGCACCCGTTGGGTTGCACTCATGCCTTTGGATTGCACCACTCTTCGATTTTAAATTAACATGCTAATCTCTCACATTAACATAGCCACTTCCATGCCCTCCTCTAGGAGGCCGCTTTGGATTACACCTCTCTTCGATTTCACATTAACATGCTAATCTCTCACATTAACATAGCCACTTCCGTGCCCTCGTCGAGGAGGCCGCTCTCCTATCTTACAGTTACATGCTCATTTCTCACATTAACATCACTAGCCCTGGCAACTTCTTTATGACCCTTGGGCTACACCCATTTCAAACCTTTTAAAACCGTCTGCCTTAGCAGCAGACTATGCTTTCCCACCTGATGACGGACGCTTGTGTTGCGCCCGAAACGTCGTGATCTATTTTATTTTATACCTACGTGACTTTACCGACAGAACCAAAGAGTATGGATTCCTGCAGTCACGAAAGCTTCAAATCAAGATTGGCTTATTATTATTATCATCATCATCGTGTGGAACTTTACATCAGCAACTAAATTTTTGAAACGTGTGTTGTTGATTTATAATGTGGAGGGGAATACCCGGAGAACCCCGAAAAAAAATATTTGTGACCACGGAGAGGGAGAGAGGCACGCAAATTACGATTATACAGCAGGCGTCAGGATCAGGATCAAAGCCTCCTGTACAACAGGCGAGGTAGTTGGCTTCTCCTAGCCACCGTAGCGGTGGACTCATAAAGAAATGCTTAGACTTACTTAGGAGGGAAGATGCAAGGGGAAGTTGGGAGACAGGGGAAGACACAAGGATACACAGGGATATATAGGGAGACATGGGGAGACACGGGGAGACACATGCTGCTCCCTCTGCATCTGCCAGAGCTGCACCTTGACTCAAAACTAGTTGATCTTATATCTTGATTTGTGCTTTAGTATTAACCACTATCTGATTGTGCTACCACCACACCTGCCCGTTTTGGCCTGTGGTCGATATTTTGATACGCATGTTGATTTTATATGTGGCACATTAGGAATTGACCACTCTTTTAATTATCTCCTCGTTCAGCAATGGAGTAAAGTGTGGTTTTGTGAAGGTCCCTTATGTGCTGTGCAATACATCAATGCTCGTGTGTACACAAGCATGCGATACTGAGTCGGGCCTGTAGGTGGCTGTCAGGGTTATTGAGTAACGGGACCTGTCCACCAGTCACTCTGTTTGTGACGCACGTGCTGTTGCATTTTACAGGTAAAGGACCCAACTATGTTTTTTTACAGTACATATATAGTACAGATAATGGGTGTAAGATACCGATATAAGTGGATGGTATAGATAGACATACAGCTTAGGATTAAAGGAATATTCGAATAGGGCAGTGTAAAGGTTATGATTAAAGACAAAGATGGTTTATCAGTAGTGGAATTGGGTTTAAGGGAAACTGTTGTTGAGTAACCTGACCTGTACACCAGTCACGTGGTTAATGGCGACTCAGTATGACACACGTGCTTTTGCATTTTACAGATTATTACAATTAATGTGTTAGCCCTCGATTTGGACCACCTGCCCACGTCCTTAATTTCGAGTGTGCAATATGTAGGTAGGAGGACTACCTTCGTTGAATTTATACCATAATGTATTGCGATGCTCTCTCCAATTGGGGCGAGTTTTTACTCAAAAAATAAATTGAATGAATGAAACGAAAAGGGAGACGTGGGGAGATGCAGGGATACACTGGGAGACACGGGAGGCAGTGGTGTAGACACGGGGAGACACTGGGAGACACGTGAGGCAGTGGTATAGACACAGGGAGACACTGGGAGACACGGAAGACAGGGAGGCAGAGGTGTAGACACTGGGAGTCACTGAGAGAAATGGGAGACGCTGGGAGACACCGGGAGACACAAGCAGGCAGAGGTGTAGACACTGGGAGACACGGGGAGGCACTGGCAGACACTGGAGACCCTGGGAAGCACTAGGATTACACTGGGAGGCAGGGTGTAGACACTGGGAGAAATGTGGAGACGTGGGGAGACACTGGAAGAGACTGGGAGACACGGAAGACATTGGGAGACACTGGAGACTGTTCCTGTGGCGCATCGTTACCATAATGAGGCCCGAGGTGAGGTGCGACTCCTTGACGCCGCGTTCCATCCAGAAGCGGGAGATGGCCCTCATGTAGGAGGGGTTGAAGAAGGCCACGCGCTGCTGGGACTCAAAGTCTTCCAGGGTAAATATGGCCTTGGGGGCATGGGAGGAGGAAGGGGGGCAGGGGTGTGAGGAATCGCTGCCGCGTGTGATCCAGAATGGACACGTGGTGCACAGGTGGACACTGGTGGACACGGTGGATGTGAGTGGGCCCGTGGTTACCCTGTATGCGAGCGACGTGAATGCAGACACGGTGAAGGCGGGGATGAGAAGGATGCTGGCGCCGTACGAAGACATCTTCCTGATGAACTCCTTTCTTCTCCCGATCAGGGACTCGAATCTACATACACACACACATGGGGTTACACACACACGGGGTTACACACACATGGGGTTACACACAAACACGGGGTTACACACACGGGGTTACACACACACACAGGGGTACACACACACACACGCGGTTACACACTTATAAATGCACATGGGGTTACAAATAGAAATGCAAATATTCCCCGTAAAGCCTTAACAGACTTTTGAGGCAAGTGCTGTTAGTGAGCAACTATGAAGGCTGGCACGGCACACCAACACCACAGCCAGGCCGCCTTTGTGTTTACTACACACCACACCCAGGTACTCATTTGAGGCCGAGTTGATCTAGGGGAGACGCCCAGAATCGGTTCAGATAACCGCCACTCCGAGTTGGTGGCGGCGTCACCAGGGTTCGACAGACCTTGTAGTGCGAGGGCGGGGGGCGTGGCCCAGGGCGGTCGGCCCCCGATTCGTTCACCCACCTACCTCCTATTGGAGGAGGGAGGATGTCTCTACAAATCCGGCCGTCCCACCTGATGAAGCCGGTTGTAATTGCTTTTGAAACGTCAGACTCAAAGTTGTAAATGTCATGGATTTGCTCTCCAACACACCAGTGCAGCTGTACTTGTGACGAATTGGCTGAGTTATGTTCGCGGGACACTAAAACTGACTAACTGGTTGTGTCGGGTGGTGGCGGGTTTAATGACACAACGTTTATATTAAGGCGATCTAGCCCAAAAAAATTACTATCATGAAAGACAAAGATTCCCCCGTGTGTAGCCTTTGAGGCACGTGCTGTTAGTGAGTCAGCAATTGTGAACGCCGGTGGTGCGGGCACACGGGGCGGGATGGTTCGGCCTTCAACGCACCTAGGGCCGCCTTTGTCTCCCCAATAGCAACGTTTAGTACACACATGGCACACCGGTGTGTTCACTTGAGGCTGAGTCGACCGAGGCAACACAAACGACAAAAATCCGCCAATGTTGGGGCAAGTGCTGTTCGTGAAGAGGAGCAGCAATTGTAAAAGCCAGTGGAACGGCACACTGGCTGGGTGGGTTGGGCCAGCGCCATGGCCGGGGCCGCCTTTGTCTCCACAGTTGGCGTCATTTTCTGCACACTTGAGGCTGAGTCGACCATCGGCACGCGACCATGCGCACTCGCTCGCTCACCGATTGATGAAGATGCTCGGGTTGGAGGTGACGATGTCCGTTTTGCTTCCCACATCGTCCTGGAAGTCGCCCCCCACGGGAGGGATGTTGCATCTGGTGGACAATGAAGGGGGTGAGCCTCAACCCTGCCCACACGTCTAGAGTTCAACCCTGTCCACATGTCTAGAGTTCAACCCTGCCCACATCTAAAGTCAACCCTGCCCACACGTCTAGAGTCAACCCTGCCGATGCGTCTAGTCTTCAACCCTGTCCACACGTCAGGAGTCAACTCTGCCCACATTTATAGACACTCACTCCCTCCCTCCCTCCTTTTCTTTTTACTTTTTAACGATCAGACGGAACTTTGCTTCGTTCATCATGTAGTTTTTTTTGCTTGCTTATGTGCCCCCTTTTTTAAATCAAAGATATAACGCGGGTTTCCCGTATAACATAAGTCCCATTATGTGCTATTGTGTCCATAGACACCAACAAAAAAAAATCACCCTCAAAAACCCATTACCAGATCTCCTGCTTTCATCAGATTATACAAAGCACCCTCGGTAGCCCAACGCGTCGAGAAATATGCGACACCCCCCGTCAACTGAGCGTACCGAAATTCCAGCCAAATTATGGCAGAAACCAGGGCCTTGAAGATGCGGCAGTGGCTGGAGAAGCCGCTCCCCTTCAATTGCGCATTTCCTGGCCCTATAGATGGCGAGTTTGGCGTTGTTCAGGATAAAGTTCGTCAACCCCTCTATATCCTTGGTACCCTCGTTCCCCCTATATCCAAAAATAAGAATTGTGGGTGAGAAATGAAGATTGAATTTCAGTAAAATATTGCGTAACAACTTATAGAGTGATTCCAGGCTTTTGCAATGTATGTATTGATGCGCCACTGTTTCGAGCTCACCACAGAATCCGCATTCAGGATTTGTGTCTGTGAAAAGTGCCAGAAATGTGTTCGTGGTCACAGTCCCATGGGCAATGCTCCAGCTAAGATCACCATGGCGCTTGTATGATGGATTAGAGTAAAACAGCTCCCAATGAGGCCTCAAACGATCACTGCAGGGCATGGTGTCCTTCCAGGCGTAGCCTTTACGCGATGTTATTATTTGTCGGTGGTGGAAATCGACCATTTGGCCGTACAGCTTTTTCCGGTGTACACCCGAGAAGCACCCCTCCTGGTCATTCCCCGAGGTGTGCCCCCCGTGCTGCTGTGAGGAAGAGAGGTGAGTGTGCTCCCGTGTTGGGACGACATTCAGCTTTGATAGCAATGGGCCACTGCCGGCCGACTCATCACCAACACTCACGGCAGGCACGCTCCCCACTGTTGTTGAGAAGGCCCTTCGTACCTCATTCACAAGTTTTGCGGCGAGTCTCACCGAGTGCATTTTGGTCATTGCAGCTATCTCGGCAGGGAGAAACCACCGCCCCTCCGTGCCTGGTCTCACCAAATCGCCCACCCTCGTGAGACGTGCGTCCACCATGCGGTTCTCCATGGCAGGGCCCACGAGAGCAGGTAGTGCCATGTTGGGGTTCCGTAGCAGCGGCTCGTGAGCGAATTCAGATGCTGACCGGGGTGTATTCAGTCGGGCGGTGACGAGGAAACCCCAAGTATGTAGGACACTCCTGTAGAAGTGGGGAATCTGTGCGAGTGGAATACCTTTAATGTCCATAAAGAAAAGCTGCTTGCTGCACTGAAAGCCCCCGACATTTTTGAGAAAAAAAGATGCTGTGGAACACCACATGGGTGATGGGGCTGTGTAGAGGAACCTCTGTACGGCTTGTAAACGAAATGTAGAAAGTTGGCTCTGTACACACACCAGACCTTGCCCGCCTTCCCGCAGTGGCAAGGCCAAGATGCCAGCAGCCACACGGTGCTTCCTCTGTGACCAGAAGAAGGCAGCTATCAGTCGCTGAAGTTTCGATATCAGCTGTGCGGGTGGAGTGAGGGAAAAGAAGCGGTGCCACAAGGTGGATGCAACCAACTGTTTCATCACCAGGGTTTTCCCTCTGAACGTGAGAGACTTGCGCAGGCGCCCCCAAGGCTCCAGTCGTTTCCTCACCTTCTCTTCCAAGAAATCCCAATTTTCCTGCAATGGTTTATCTCCAGGCCCCAGGAGCACGCCGAGATGGTGCATACGCTCTTTGCTCCACGTTATCGTTTTGGCCAACTCAGGGAACTGGGCTTCGTCCCATTTCCCAACAAGCAGCCCACTGCACTTCTCCCAGTTCATCCTGGAGGAGGACGCACGGGAGTAAACCTCTTGGCACTCGTGCAGCCGTTGGATGTCATCAAAACTTAGTAAAAAATAGGAGGATGTCATCGGCATACGCCGTGAGGGTCACTCTCATACTGGGCTCCTTTAGAGTCAATCCGGTGAGTCGGCGTCGGAGTAGGTGCAGAAAAGGCTCCACGACGAGGATGTAGAGCTGTCCTGACATAGGACAGCCTTGCCTGATACCTCTTCTGAAATCTATAGGAGCAATTAGTCTACCATTGACTTTAACCAGACACTGGGCGATGTTGTACAGCAGACTAATCAAACCTATGAAGCGATTCCCAAAACCAAAAACTTTTAGAGTGCCAAGAAGATACCGGTGATCAACCCTGTCAAAGGCTTTCTCTTGATCAAGGGAGAGAAAGGCAAGCGGAAAGTTCAAATGCTCCGACAGACTGATCAAATCTCTGACCAGGAAAATCCGATCATGGATGGTCCTCCCCGGAACAGTGTATGCCTGGTCATCGGCGATAACCGTAGCCAACACCCTCTTAAGCCTTGCCGATGCAGCTCTCGCGAGAATCTTATAGTCTGTGCTCAGCACTGAGACTGGACGCCAATTTTTGAGGTGCCTGAGGTCGCCCTTTTTTGTAATCAGTGTGAGCACGGCTCTCCTCCAGGACTGAGGCATCACGTCGGTCTCCACTGCTTCATCCAGAACGGCTTTGTAGTCTTTAGGTATGGAGTGCCAAAAATGGTGATAAAACTCCCCCGTCAGGCCATCAATCCCTGGGGATTTGTTCTTGGCCAGGGCACTCACTGCCATGTCCAGGTCGCTTTGCTTGACCTCTTCTTCCAGAAGGTCCCGGTCCTCTTCACCCAAAGTAGGCAGGTCCTTCCAGATTTCATCCTGGGGCCACTGTGGAAGTGTGCTCTGGAGAGAAAAAATTTCCATAGTACTTTGCTATTGTTGAAGCTATTTGATTATTGTTTGAAAGAAGGAACCCCTTGTCATCAAATAAATGCTCCATAGCTTTACGTCTACCATTCTGCTTCCCTAACGAGAAGAAAAGTGTCGAGCTTGAGTCCATATCGAGGGTATCTTTAAAACGAGAGCGTACAAATGCCCTTTTGCCTTTTCTTTCTGCAACCCTTTTAGACATTCTAGGGTCTCCACATATTCCTGCAGTAGGCCTAGATCGTTCCCAATCTTCTGCCTTTGCTCTAAAATATGAACCCTGTTCTCCAGCTCACAAATTTCTTGGTCGATATTTTTCGTGTTTCCCCAGGCATACAACTGACACAGTTTTTTGATGTGTACTTTCCCTATGTCCCACCATTGTGCTAAGCTATTAAACTGATCTTTCTTTCCCTGCCACTCCACCCAGAAGCCTCCAAAAAGATCAGTGGAGGTGGTGTCTTGCAAAAGGACATTATTGAAATGCCAGTATGCCGATCCCCTTGGGACTCCTTCTATTTTCATTTCAAGTAGTATTAGGCAATGATCGGTCAGTGGTGCTGCCTGAATACTGGACGACACTGCACTATTTACAAGGTCTTTCAAGATGTAAAAACGGTCGATCCTTGACTGCGACAGTGTTCTGTCAGCTCGGGTTCGTGTAAAGGTGAAACCTTGCTGCTTTGGATTTTTGCCTCCGCCACACGTCTTCAAGACTGTACGTGCGGAGCACATGCCGCAAGGTGTTCAGGACCCCGCTTTTGCACTGCTCGGTGCCAGTGCGGTCGAGGACATCGAGTGTACAGTTGAAATCTCCCCCCAACATCAGACACTCGTCATTCGGGATGGTTTTGAGATAGTACTGTAACTCATTGGAAAAAAAGCAGTTTTTACGCATCATTGATGGGTGAATATATGTTATTGAGGTGGACAGAAATGTCATTAAGTTTGATCATTACATCGAGGGCTCTTCCCGGTACCACCTCAACTTGGTTAACTATGGTGGGCGTAAACCCCGGTGCAAATAGCGTTGCCACTCCTGAAGAATAATGAGTAAGGTGACTGAAAAACAAATCAACTTTCCATTCCGTTTCCCATTCATTCTCCTTGCTGGTCGTAAGATGCGTCTCCTGCACAAAGAGCACCGAGGCTTTGTGTTCTTTTGCGAGAGAATGCACAAAATGTCTCTTGAGTGGACCACTACACCCATTTATATTATTTAAGAGCTTGTCTCTTGGATTTTTCCTCACTTGATACAGTCAATTTAGCTGTGACGGTCCCACCTGATGATGGAGAATTGTGTTGCCTCCAAAACGTCGTGATTTATTATTATTTCTATTTTTTTACCTACGTGACTTTACCGAAAAAACCTAAGAGTATGAATCCTTGCAGTCACGAAAGCTTCAAATATAGAACCATTTATATTAATTGCCGCTATCCGTAGCATTACGTGTCAGTGGAGTTGTCGCCAGGTGTGTTTTCCTTCCACATAGTTAATTGTCCCAGGAAGTACCTGATCCTTTTCCTTTCCTTTCCAGACGACGACTTTCTCTGTTTCTTCAAGTCCCCCTCAACATAGAGTAGGGAGGTTATTATTGCATCCACATTTCGCCACCTTGACAGAGCTGCAGTCACCCTTTCTTCTGAACCATGCACTTCATCTAAAAAGTTCCATAGCTCTGACTGTGAGAATTTTGGTGCCCCTTCAGTCAGCTCAGCAGATGTCAGGTTCGCCCCACTTCCTGTGCTGAGGGTTTCTTCCAACTCCTCTTCTTGGCTTCCCCCCTCAGCCCCCAGGCTTTGAGGATTTTCAGTCGCCGTGGTATCCTCCGTCAATGCTTTATCGTCTTGGTCACCTGCAGTTTGGTCAGTGGGGCCTTGTTTGGGCTCCTCCGTGCTCTTGGCTGCTCGCGTTTCCTGGGAGCCCTCGGCCGCCTCACCGGGCGTGCCGTCGAGGTCTGAAGTGCGACCCTCTTCACTTGTTTCCTTCGCCACTTCACAGATTGCGGTCTCCCCTGCTTCCACTTCAGGCTCCAGATTTTCATCAGGCATCCTGCGCTTGAGCTTGGTTCCTGCACGGGGCTTCTTCCCTGTGCGTGTCCCACCTCTAGGGGCATCTGGGGTGGCGCAGACCCCGTCCTTGCCACCAGTGCTCTCCGCATCTCCCCCAGGCATCGGTGCGATGTCCGACTCCAACTCTGGGAGATCCTTAAAGGGACTGACCTCATCCCCACTGGACTCTGGAGACAATGAAGCTAAGTCCTCCACAAATTTCCTCTTCAGAGGTCTGGCTGTTAATGATGGCTGGGTGGCTGGCGGAGCCTCAGTCTTCATGGCAGTAGCTTGTGTTGGAGTGAGACCTACCGCCATCTCGCGTGATCTCCGTGGTGAGGGACCCTCTCCTGAGTCACTTGTTGGGTGTGCTTCTTTATCACCCTTTCCCACCATTGCCTCGCTGTTGGATTGGGCATTTGCTGTCTTCGGGCAGTGTTTTTTTAACATGCCCCTCTGCTTTGCATAGGTTGCATTTTAGCACGTCCCTGCAGCAAAACAGCCTATGGGCCCTTCCTCCATTCATGACCACAAAGGAGCCCTCCTCAAGCTGCCCATTGGGCACCAGTATGTAGACCTGCCTTCTAAAAGACAAGATATGCCATAAGGCAGGATTTTTGAGGCCCAAAGGCACACGCTGAAGGTTGGAAGTCAGCGTGCCCAACTTAGCCAGGTGATCTTGGATGTCTTTATCGGGAATGTAGGGGGGGACGTTGGATACGATTACGCGTACCGATGGTGATGAAAGTGGCTCCAAGCTGAGGTGCCAATCGCCAACCATCAGCCCCTTCTCCATGGCGGCGTTTGCCACCTTTTCGGACTCCATGAAGAAAACCACCCTTCCACTCACCTTGGAGGCGTACCTTATCGATCTTCCAGGCACGATGGCGCCCAGCGCATCCAAGTAAACTTCAATCGGGACATTGGTGGAAGCCAGGCAGCGGATCCCAGCCTCGCGTGGAGGCTCCAGCTGCTGCTACTGCGGGCGCCTTGCAGGCCCCAGAGACCGACCTTGCGTAGGCACGGTAGCTTTCGCGTATGTTGTTGCGGTGGACATCTTCACGTGTGTGAGATGTCATACACAACAACTAAAACAAACCTCTCTATTTTCTAAAGCCAGGAAAAAAATTCCAAAAAAAACAAGAAAGATTTTTTTGTTATATAAAGATGGTCAAACCTGTGTTTTGACCACCTTCTCCTAATTACTATTACTGCTGCCCACCCAAAGCTCCCCTGGAGAAGGTACACTTATTTTAAGTCCTCGGTTTTTTACAAGAGGAGAAGAAAAAACGAAAACGTAGAAAAAAAGCACACCAATAAAAATAAAATAATGTAAACACGCTCGCAACACAAAACAAGAGGGGTCTAAAGGGGATGTCTGCACTGGACCCACACCGGCCGGTGTGGTACAGTGCGAACACGTGTGTGTAACACGTGGGAGCACACCAGACAAAGGAACGGAAAAAAACACGAAAAAAAAATCACAAAACTCAAAGATTGCTTGAGGACCAAAGGAACCCAAGATCGAAATAAAAACAAAGAAAAGCGTGATTATGAAATCAACTATCAAATAAAAGTGGAGGATTGTGCGGAGAACAATACACTGCAGAGAGCACAGCCGCGCCCTGAACAGTGAAAACAACAGAAAAGAACAAAGAAATAAAGATAAAGGAAGTCTAAATAAACAAACAAACTGATCACAAATGTGTACAAAGCAAGACAATTACTGTTGGTGAAAAGAAATCCCGAAAAAGAAGGTGAGAAAAATAAAGTTTTAGAGGTAAAGCTTTGGGTGAAACACGCCTCCCTCCCCACTCACCGGATCACAAAGTCAGCTGCGTCGATCTGGGAGCCGCAGGAGCTGTTGGTGAGGATCCCTCCGTTCCCCACGACAGCGCAGCGAGGGTAGCGCCCACTCCGCTCGGGGAACTCCTGCGGCCACATCACCATCATCAGCCGCCATCATCATCATCAGCAGCCATCATCATCGGCTTTCATCATCAGCAGCAGCAGTCATCATCATTTGCCATCATCATCAGTGATCACTCGTCATCATCATCATCGTGACCAGCCATGCTGTAGGTTGGTAGCTGGTGTAGCCATGGGTGGAGGTGGCACTGGGAGAGGGGTATCGGTTGGAGACCCATTGACCAGCTCGCTTCCCTAACGAGCGTTGAACGCATATTCGTGACAGACAGGCGTCTTCTGCAAAGGAGCTACTACATAGCAGCTAAGTTGGGCCTTCCTGTACCCGGGAACAATTTAAAAAACAATCTAGTTTTAGTTTTAGATGATTTTAAAACCTCTGCTGTACTTCGTATTCCGGTCTGTTTTTTTATTGTTGGTTGTTGTAACTTTCTGACCTATCCCTACAGGACATCATTGGCGAGATGTTGACTACCTCGCCTGGTGGACAGGAGGTCGTGGGATTGATCCCGACCCTGACGCCTGCTGCTGTATATTTCGAGTTTGCGTGTCTCTCTCTCATCATCATCATCACGGTGGCTAGGAGATATTAACTACCTCGCCTGGTGTACAGGAGGTCATGGGTTCGATCCCGATCCTGCTGTATATTTGGAGTTTGCGTGTCTCTCTCCATGTGGTCGTGTGGATTTTTTTCCGGATCCACCGGGTTTTCCCTCCACATTTAGAAACGTGCGTTTAGAGTATTTGGCTGATATGAATTTCCACGTGGTGATGATGATAAGCCCACTTCGTTGAGCTACGTTGCAGCTCAGTGTGGCCTTACAAGATAAATAACCGAAAAACTAAAAAATAAATCTTTATATTCGTTTACTATCCTGCCTGCCCCGTAGCCTCACGAGGAGCGATGGTCCCTCGATTAGCGTGCTACGAACCCGGCGACCCGAGTTCGATTCCCGCTCACCGCCACCAATACTGGTGATTATTATTTGAACCGGTCGTGGACCTCCCCTAGGTCGACTCAGCCTCATGAGTGCCTGGTGCGGTGTATAAAACATCGCCACTGGGGGAACAAAGGCGGCCGGGCATGGTGCTGGCCACCCACACCCTCGTGTGCAATGCCGACCTTCATAGGTGCTCGCTAACAACACTTGCCCCAACAGTCTTTTAAGGCTACATGGGGGATATTTGTGTGTGTTTGTAACTGTGTGTGTCAATGCAGCTACGAACCCGGAAAAACAACCCCCTACCTCCTCGCGGTGCCGGCAATGCCCATTGGCCTCTCCCCTCATGGCGTCTGTGATCACCACAGTGGCTAAACGGGGGCTCTGGACGGGTGCGAGGGGCTGGTAACCCCTCCACCTTCAATTCATTACCAGGAAACTACGAATTAAACATAAATATGTAACAAATAAGCTTGTGCCGGAGGCCCCGGGGGGACAGGCGTCTATGACGTCTCCTGGCCAAACCCCAATTTGCGGAGCCAGGAGATTGAATCTTCACCCTCGGGGCTCCTCCAGAAACAATGAAAAGCCACTACGGATGGCCACGTGGAATGTTCGAATGCTCACTGCAGAGGAGAGGCTGCCACTCCTTTGTCGGGAGCTGGACCGGTCCCGCCTGGATCTCTGTGGCATTCAGGAGGTCCGGTCGACCGGTTCTGGCTCCTGCCACCATGAGGGGTGGACAGTCCTCTACTCGTAGCAGGAGAATGCCAAACAACAGGGTGTGGCTCTTCTTCTGAACCAAAGAATGAAGGGGGCGTGGGAGCGTGGCGGTGAGGTGTGGGAAGCTGTAAGCCCCAGGATACTTTGGGCTCGCCTTCCCATCAACCGGAGGCGAGGAATGGTGGTCGTGGTTACTTATGCCCCCACCGAAGACGAACATCCGTGGAGGGATGCAGGCAAAGCCGTTGAGTCAGATGCCTTCTATGACCTCCTGTCACAGGTGCTGGCAAAAGTGTCCACTCGGGACAGAGTCATTTTGTTGTGTGACTTCAATGCCCGAGTTGGTCATGATGCTGGCACCTGGACTGGAGTGATTGGAAGGCATGGGCCAGATCAGCTCAATAACAATGGTAGGAAGCTGCTAGATTTTTGTGCAGCCCATGGGCTTGTAATTCCCAACATGCTCTTCTGGCATCGGCGCATCCACACAACATCATGGATGCATGCCGGGTCCAAGCAAGGACATCTTCTGGACTACATAGTGACGGACCAGCGAATGCGAGCCCATGTCCTTGACACTAGGACTATACCGTGGAGCTGATCTGCCCTCTGACCATCGACTAGTCATCTGTAAGATGCGCCTGCCATTCTTACACTCCGGTGGTCGGTGTACACCCAGGACCCCATTCCAACCTAAAGTGACCTGGTCTCAGCTAGCTGATGAAAGTTGCAAACGAGAATTTCATCATCGCTTGCGGCTGGGGTTGGCATCATCCCCCACTCCTCCTGATGTCGAGGGTAAATGGGCGAGGTTTAGGACTGTGACGCATGCAGCTGCAATGGCTGCTTTGGATATGCGGTCCAGACCTCCCCAGAGACCCTGGCTGACAGGAGGTGTTCAGGATATTTGAGAAAAAGAAGCGACAGGCCCACTCTCATCGACTACAGCATCCCACGTCAGAGAATGAGGAGGTTTACCGCAGCCTTCACTCGGAGGTTCGGAGAGCCGTAAGTGGCTGCAAGGATGGGTGGTGGTCGCGGGTTGCTGAGGAGATGAAGTCTGCTTCAGTGGCCCGCGATCACAAATCACTATTTAACTCCATCAAAAAAGTAACCTGCAGTGCCAGACCTATTACCATCATTAGGGAAAAAAACGGTTTGCAGATTTTCTGAGCATTTCTGTGAGGTCCAGAGGGAGGGGAAATCCCTTAGCCAGCAAAACATCATGGCACAAAGTGGGGATGACCCTGCTGAGGCTACGGTGCCTCAAATATTGGAAGAAGTCACCCCCTGTGTGTGGCTGGCTGAGGTGCCATCTGTTGAGGAAGTACTGAAGGCGATCCGGGGTCTGAGACCAGGAAAGGCACCGGGCAGAGATGATCTCCCAAGCGAAATGCTGAGGGAGGGTGGCGTTTGTGCACAGACTGCCCTATATGACATCATAACAACATACTGGACCACTTGACGGGTTCCACCGGATTGGAAGGATATCCTGGTGGTCCCCCTCTTTTAAGAATGGGGACCAAACAGACTGGAACAACTACAGGGACATCTCACTCCTCAGTGTGCCGGGAAAGGTCCTGGCAAGGATTATTCAACATCGCCTTGCTAGGCACGCTGAGGAGAGGCTTGCGGAGCCCCAATGCGGTTTCCCTGTACACATTGGGGTGCGACAGGGATGTCCTCTGGCTCCCAAATTATTTAAAATCTTTGTTGACCACGAAGTTCATGAAGCCTTCAATAGCTGTACTGGGGGAATTTCCAATTGGTACAGATATAATGGGAGGCTGATCAATGCCCGGGTGCGATCAAGGGATGGCTCCCTATTGTTCAGCCACGTTATATATGCCGATGATTTGGTAATAGCTGCTCATTCAGAGGAGGAGTTGGAGACGCTGCTGATGAGACTGTTACGTGCCACTAAGAGGTGGGGCCTTACCATAAGCCCCATCAAAACTAAGCACCTGCCTGGGTATTTTGTACCATCGGACAGTCCACCCCCACAACTCCCAATCGGTGATGGGGCAGTTGTGGAGAGAGTGGAGAGTGTCCCATACCTGCGTAGTGTTCTTATGACCGGCTCCAGTTTAACAGCAGAAGTCTTACCCTGAATCAGTCGAGCGGCAATATCTTTTCATCGGTTACGTAACGCTCTGTGGAAGCGACCTGGTCTGTCGCTCCGCATCTAAGCTTCAGGTCTTCTCGGCCACAGTCATTCCCTCCCTTCTCTATGCTTGCGAAACGTGGACCCCCCTAATGGAGCATCTTCGCCGGTTAGAAACATTTAGGCTGGCCTGCCTACGATCCGTACTGGGATTAACCAGGCAGGATTGTGTGAGGAGTTCACAAATCCTTGAAAGATCTGGGCAAAGTCCCATCGGTGAGCTCCTCCGGCAGGCAAGGCTGCATTGGCTGGGTCATGTAGCCCGCATACCTAGCCACAGCATGCCTAAACAGCTTTTGTTCGCATGGATCGAGGGGGCTAAACGGGCGCAGCACGGGCTAGAGAAGAGATGGAGTGATGTGGTACAGGAGGACGTGGAGCTGAGTGGACTTGCCGATGACTGGTACCAGTGGTGTCAAGATCGGCCTCTGCGGAGGAGGCTCGTGAAGGACGCTACTGAGCATTTGGAGGCGGTCGCCCTCCAACAACAATGGAGGGTGGAGGAGCGACGCTCACAACAACGAGCGGAGCGCCAGGTGGCTAAAGCACAGCAAGTTGGCACAGTCGGGGGCACAGGTGGTGCATCAGCCAGTCATCTCGGTCATCTCAGTCAGTCGACCCGTGGCACCTGGGTCTGCTCCGTGACCTCCTGCCAGCGGGCGTTCGACACTTCACGTGGCCTCAAGGTGCACATGGCCTGGCACAAGCGTCGTGGTGACGTCACCGCCACTTAGTGGCGAATGGCGGTTGTTGTTGTTGTGTGTTGTGTCACTGTTTGTGTATCACTGTGTTTGTGTCACTGTGTGTCACTGTGTGTGTCTCTGTGCGTGTGGTAGGCGCGTGATAGCACTCCCACCCCCAACCCCACCACCCCCAGGGTGGCACCTTGAGGAAGAGATCCATGACTTTAGCGTCCACCACGAGCGTCTTCCTCCTCTGGTTGAAGACGATGCTCGTGTTGATGGGCGAGTTGCTTTGCGTGATCACCACCTGGCTCGCTCCTCCCGTTGCGTTCGTGTGAGTCGACCTGAGACCAGAGCGATGGAGATGCAGAGAGAGACATCGGAGAAAGACATCGGAGAGAAACATCAGAGAGAGGTGGAGACATAGAGAGAGAGGGAGACATGAGAGAGACAACAGAGAGACAGCAGAGAAAGATACATTAGAAAAAGACATCAGGGACAGACGTCAGAGAGAGACAGAAGAGAGAGACATCGGAGAAAAACATCAGAGAGAGGTGCGGATATAGAGAGACGCAGAGTGAGAGACACAGAGAGAAAGAGACATAGAGAGAAAGACAGAGAGAGTGAGACAAAGAAATATATACAAAAAGACATTAAAAGAAAAAGAGGGAGACGGAGAGAAAGACAGAGAGATCTAGAGACATAGAGAACGAAGCACAAAGAGATATAGAGAGACATTGACAGAGAAACTCAGAGACAGAGAGAGAAACGGAGACAGAGAGATGTAGACAGAGAAACAGACAAACAGAGCAATGCAGAGAGAGATAGAGAGAGACATTGCTAAAGAAAGACAGAGACACAGAGACACAGAGAGAGATGGAGACAGCCGGAGAGATGGAGAGACAAGGAGAGAGAGACAGCCACTTCAGCCAGTACTGGAGATGCCTGTGGGTGGTATCCGCTGTGAGCTGCGTCACGTGGTGCGTGCTTTGTTTGTGGGCCCTCGCGGAGGCTCCGCGACCTGCAGCTCGCGGCCAGGAGAGGGCGACTCCACGCCAGGGAGTGGCCACGGGCGAGTGCCGTAACACTGCTCCACAGGAGGTAAAGGGGATTTTTGTTTAAACTTTTTTGAAACTAAATTTTTGTTTTTACAAATTTTTTACTGTATTTTTTTGTTAAATGTTTTTACAGTTTTTTCGCAATTTAGTTTTACATTTTTTTAAAGAGTTTTTGTTAAGTATTTTTACAAAAATTTAGACGTTTTGTTTTACTATTTCTTTCACTATGATAAAACTATTTTTTTACTGTTTCTTTTTACTATTTTTAAACAAAATCAAACAATAATAAAATTCGACGTTTCGGTTGCAACCCAAGCAACCATCATCAGGTAAGAATTAATGATAAAACACAGACACGGAAACAACACAGGCAGACAACATGCAGAGAGAGACACACAGACACACCGAGTGTCTGCTTATGTTGTTTCCGTGTCTGTGTTTCCTTGGTGTGTGTCTCGCTCGGTTTGTCTTTGCGTGTGTCTCTCTCTCTCTGCATGTGTGTCTGCCTGTGTTGTTTCCGTGTCTGTGTTTTATCTTTCATTCTTATCTGATGATGGTTGCTTGTGTTGCAACCGAAACGTTGTATTATATTATTATTATTTGATTTTATTTTCTACGTGACTTGACCGAAAGAACCAAAGAGTAATTCCTGCAGTCACGAAAGCTTCGAATCTAGTTTATTTTTAAACACTTACTTCACCTGGAATGGTACTTTCTACAAATGAAATGAAGGTACCCCCATGGGTTCCCCCTTATCACCAGTGATAGCGAATTTTTTCATGGAGAAATTTGAAACAGATGCCATCCAGACATCCACCCTACGTCCTTCCTTGTGGAAGAAATACGTAGATGACACCTTCGTCATTTGGCCACATGGCCTGTCAGCATTGAACCAATTTCTCAACCACATCAATTCCATACATCCATCCATCAAATTCACAATGGAAGTGGAGAAGGATGGTAAGCTACCATTCCTGGATGTTCTGTTTGAGAAAAGGCCTAACGGCTCGTTGGGACACTGTCCACAAGGAAGCCACCCACACAGATTCCTATATAAAACCTGATTCCCACCACCATCCGGCACAGAAGTCCCTCATCAAAACACTACACCATAGGGCCCACTGCATCTCCGACCAACACCACCTAGCCAGTGAACTGGAACATGTACACCAAGCCCTTAAGATGAATGGGTACTCGGACTGCATTATTTGCAAAGCTGTTTCTCCAACCATGGAGAAACAATCTCCTGAGAATCCAATCAAAACCATAACTTTACCATACATAGCAGGTGTGACCAAAAACATTTCCAAAATCTTAAACGAAAAAAAGATCCAGGTCCGATTTAATACAGTACACAAAATCCGTGATCTTATCCCATCTGTGAAGGAGGTCATTCCTGACATGCAATACCCTGGAGTCTACAAACTGAGTTTTACCTGCGATAGCAGTTACATTGGGGAAACGAAGCAATATGTCTCGGACCGTATTCGTGAACACAAGGCAGATCTGAAACATGGCAGAACCAATACCTCTGCCGTAGCTGACCATTGTTATAACGCTGTGGGCTCACGTGATATTGTTTATTCCGAGACCAAGGAACTCTGCAAACCTTCAGGCTACTATCATAAGGTGTGTTCATGAAGCCATCTATATATATAAAATCGTGAATCTGTCTGTCTGTCTGTGTGTCGCCGGACCATACGCACTTTCATTGGACGAAATGTCAGGGATTTGCGACACACGATTGGTCCGGCGGTTGCCTCTGCATTGCGACACACGATTGGTCCGCCGGTTGCCCCTGCATTGCGACACACGATTGGTCCGGCGGTTGCCCCTGGCAACGGCTAGCGACGCATTCGCCATTTTTAATTCCCGTTAAAAATAGGCGCACGCATTAACACGCGACTCTGATGTTAATTCATCACAGTTTCACGTCCTCTTCAGTCCCCTCCCACCCCAATGTGTTCTATTACTGTTATAGGCTCCCTAGATATTTAAATAATAGCGATTAGACACTATTATTGTAGCGCGAGGGGGGGGGGGGGGGAAGCCACCCGTACCCTGCCTCTGCCGGGTGGGAAATTTAGGCGAGGCCGGAGGCTCTGCACGCTACTAGGCCTCGACACCCACCACGCGAGTCTGAGGTAGATTCATCAAACTTTCACGTACTCTTCACTCCCCCCCCCCCAACACAATGTGTGCAATTTATATTACTTTCAAACCCTACGCGCCAATAATCTATTCTTTAAATGGTGACTGTACAAATAGTCATTAAGCTGGGTGAGCGTACTGACAGTCTATAATGTATACTGTAGCCTGCTTATTAAATTGCCTGAGTCTACTGGCAGTCTATTATGTAGACTGTAGCCTGCTTATTAAGCTCCGTGAGCGTACTGCCACTCTATCATGTAGACTCTAGCCTGCTTATGAAGCTGAGTGGGTGTACTGGCAGTCTATAATGTAGACTGTAGCCTGGTTATTATAATCGATTCTTTAAATGTTCTTTGTACAAATAGTCATTAAGCTGCTTTAGCGTACTGCCCGTCTATTATGTAGACTGCCGCCTGCTTATTCAGCTGGCTGGGTGTACTGCCAGTCTATCAGGTACACTGTAGCCTGGTTATGAAGTAAAGTTAGTCAATTTGTAACACGTACGCCGATTCCCACTCACGGCCACCACCGGTGACGATTATTTCAACCCGACCTGGGCCTCCCCTAGGTCGACTCAGCCTCACACGAGTAACTGGTGTGGCGTATTAACATCGCCACTGGGGAGACAAAGGCGGCCGGGCGTGGTGGTTCCAAGTCCCGGGCGAAGCCGGGTCATGTGTATGTGTGTATGTGTTTATGTGTATGTCTGTGTGTCTGTATGTATGTGTGTATGTGTTTGTGTATGTATGTGGGGTTTTTTTTAAGTGTTTATGTGTATGTCTGTGTGTATGTATGTATGTGTGTATGTACGTGTGTGTATGTGTTTGTGTGTATGTATGTGTGTGTGTATGTATGTGTGTGTATGTATGTGTGTTATGTGTGTGTCTGTGTGTCTGCATGTATGTGTGTGTGTGTATTGTGTATGTGTTTGTGTGTATGTATGTGTGTGTTTGTGTGTATGTGTATGTCTGTGTGTATGTATGTGTGTGTATGTGTTTGTGTGTATGTGTGTGTATGTATGTGTGTGTATGTGTTTGTATGTGTTTGTGTGTTTACGCTCGCATTACACAAATGTGTTGCAGGTCTAACGCGTTCCTCGCGCAGCATTGCCGCTTTATTATTTCAGTCGTTTACTGCCGTACGCACCCTGAAAGTCGTGTGTGTCTGCAGCAAGCGCGTGTATGTGTACCTATGGACGCGTGCAAGTGTGTTGTGTAGGGGGAATGGTAGTGTAGTGGTTAGCGTGCTGTCTGTGTGTGTGTGTCTGTGTGTGTGTGTCTGTGTGTGTGCGTGTGTGGTGTGTGGGGAGCGGTAGTGTAGTGGTTAGCGTGCTGTCTGTGTGTCTGTGTGTGTGTGTCTGTCTGTGTGTGTCTGCGTGTGTCTGTGTGTGTGTCTGTGTGTGTGTCTGTGCGTGTGTGGTGTGTGAGGAGCGGTGGGTGTAGTGGTTAACGCTACGCTGCGCTACGAACCCCGCGAACCACCGGTGACGATTATTTGAACCTCCCCTAGGTCGACTCAGCCTCAAACGAGTAACTGGTGTGGCGAATTAACATCGCCACTGTGGAGACAAAGGCGGCCGGGCGTGGTGGATCCAAGTCCCGGGCGAAGCCGGGTCATGTGTATGTGTGTATGTGTTTATGTGTATGTCTGTGTGTCTGTATGTATGTGTGTATGTTCGTGTGTGTATGTGTTTGTGTGTATGTATGTGTGTGTTTGTGTGTATGTGTATGTCTGTGTGTATGTATGTGTGTGTATGTGTTTGTGTGTATGTGTGTGTATGTATGTGTGTGTATGTGTTTGTATGTGTTTGTGTGTTTACGCTCGCATTACACAAATGTGTTGCAGGTCTAACGCGTTCCTCGCGCAGCATTGCCGCTTTATTATTTCAGTCGTTTACTGCCGTACGCACCCTGAAAGTCGTGTGTGTCTGCAGCAAGCGCGTGTATGTGTACCTATGGACGCGCGCAAGTGTGTTGTGTAGGGGGAACGGTAGTGTAGTGGTTAGCGTGCTGTCTGTGTGTGTGTGTCTGTGTGTGTGTGTCTGTGTGTGTGTGTCTGTGTGTGTGTCTGTGTGTGTGCGTGTGTGGTGTGTGGGGAGCGGTAGTGTAGTGGTTAGCGTGCTGTCTGTGTGTCTG